CGCCCCGCCCCGCCCCGCCGTGAGTAAGACCATAGCCTCGCTCACCTTGCAGGATCCCGGACGGCCCGGCCCACTATCGTCGATGCATTGTGTAACGGAGTTGTTGACCACCTCGTTCTTGTTGACGACGAAGCGTATCAGAAACGGAAGCCACAACGCAAAGGATGCCGACGAGGGGCATTAACCGTTTCCATCTCAGTGGTGAGATGGACTCGTTTTTCTTCGTTCTATTCCATCATTTATAAAAATAAAAGGACCCTGCAGGACGCGGAAAACTAAAGCCGCTCGATTTGCGTCCAAATGCCGTAGGGACTTCCACCGGGCCGGCGTGGCGCGCCGCGCGCAGTCACGCCGCCGCCCGGCCGGCTCTGGGTCAAGGAGACGGACGGGCAGGGTAGGGTAGGACGTCGAGCCGGCCGGCGCGGGGCTTTGTAGAACTGAGCGAAGCCTGGTCAATAATCACTCCGACAGGCCTGCGTGTTTGCGTATAACGTACCCACATCAACATCTCGCGAGCGTGCCAAAAGGAGAGTCACGTGAGCCCGTGTCTGCGCTGGCGGGAGGCCCTGCTACCTCACCCCCGCCCCGCGCGGGCCGCCCAGGGCTGTCGAGGCGGCGGTATGGAGCTGGAGCATTGCTAATAGCGTGGTTCGCAAGCGCGCGAGAGAAAGGTCGTATTTAGAGAGATGGGCGCCAACCTGCGAACCGGTGCGTGCCGGCGGGGGCGCCAGTCCCGCGCGCGCCGGGCCGACCGCCGGGCGCCAGGCTAGGGCAGGGCGTTGGCACAGCTCACCGAAATAGCGCGTCAGCCAAGTACACACAACAGACGTGCGCTAGCAGTGCCCTGGGAATCAACAGCTTTCCTGCTCCTTGTCATCATCACACGACGACCTTTCTGTCGCGCCCGCACCGCTTCGAACATTTCCTTACACACGTCCGTAAATCTCCTTTGCAGATGTCGGACGCCGCGGCCCCCGTGGAGCACCACCGCGGTTCGTGGGCCAGCCCTCTGGAGTTCATCATGTCCTGCCTCAACTACGCCATCGGCTTGGGCAACGTGTGGCGCTTCCCCTACCTGGCCTACCGCAACGGAGGAGGTGAGTAAAGTCAACACGACCTGGCGAGAAGCCTGCGGAGTGAACCGATCACTATTACATTCCTGTAAAGCAGACGCTTTACAAATCGCGAAGGATTTAGATCCTTTGAAACGACGAAACATATTACTTTTCGATCACAAAGCGATTCTTATCAATTGGGAAGCAATGCCAGATGCTATACAGGCTACGAAACATCGCTTTGTATTTGCAAAGTAAATGCTTCATGGTTACAGGAGCTATGCAACACTTAAATAGTTGATAAAATTTTCACTTTCAACGGCTATCCGGCGTTGAATCGACATCGCCGTTCCTCCCTGGGGGATGAAGTGAGAATAGTTCGCGCAGGCCGAGCACAGTAAGTTGGAGCAAGAGAAGCCCTTCTTTAACCCACCGTCTGTTTCATCTTCTGCTGCGATTAACGGCTTTGAAAAGTTGTCCCGAGGATCATCAAAGTATGGACCTTGAAAGTTGCTCCTGCCTAGGCAGGTCGGTGCTGGGCGGGGGCAGGAGTGAACTCACATTACATCCAGGCGCAGGGGGGAAGAGTGAACTCACATTACATCCAGGCGCAGCGGCGCTACCGGGCGCCACCTCCGCACAATAAAGTGTGGCTGGGATTAGATGTCGGAAGAAGAGCTTGAGCTGGGCCGGAACTCGAGCGGCTCGCGAGTGGGAAGCGTAAATCGCACAGAAAGTTACTGGTAGTTGCAAACCGAGTTGTGGGCACTTCGTAGTAGTGCCACGTCGTACTACGTTCAAACAGCAACATCCCATTTTCTTATCAGAAAAATAATCTCTATATTTACCTCAAAAGGTGTTTACAAAATAATGCGTCTTCTCCGTCTAACACAAAGACTTCCGAAGACTTCCACACGTGTGCCATCTTACATTTTCTTTTGTTAAATTGCACTGTCTCCTTTCTTTTTCCAGGGGCGTTCCTGGGCCCGTACATCATCATGTTGTTCCTCATCGGACTGCCAATCTTTTTTCTGGAGCTCGCCATCGGGCAGTACGCTGGCCTGGGACCAATTGAAGCTTTCCAGCGCATCTCTCCATTCTTCCACGGTGAGCGACCATTGGGTTTGTTCAAGCCGGTTCAACCTCTCTAAGATTCTCTCTGTACTCTCGTTCCACGATAAACCAAACGTGAAAACGTCTAACAGATTTAAGAATATTTTTACACACGTGACTTGATACTTGACAAGTTTTGCAAAATAATAAACGGAATAGTACATTTCGAGTGGGTTGCGCGTTACTATATTGGATAGTTAATCATGTAACCGAAAAATGATTTTTTTAAATAGATTTCGCGACAACTCTTAGGGGTTTCCTACGCTCATCACCTACGTGGCCTATGTCTGCATCTACAAACAGTAGCGAAATAGTAAATTTCCCGCCGATGCATGCCCTATATGCCTCGCGCCCACGCCGCCTCAAGACCGTTCTCTACCGTCTCCCACTTGTTCTCCCGCACGTCAACCCCTTTCCGCCATTTTCACCACCCAACCTTCGCCCTTAACCTCGCGGCAGCGACAGGGATGGGTTCCGCTGGAAAGGGATGATAGAGGATAAGGAGGGATGGGGAAGGGAGGGGAGGGGGAGGGTTGGAATGTTCACTCCAACAAAACTCTCTCCTCCCCCTCCTCCTTTTTTCCTTCATCCTGCTCACTCCGCACCCTCCCACACTCTTCTCTCTGTTTGGCCGTCTCCGACCCACCCCCTCCAGCCTCGGGGTTCCAAAATGTGACCTTGAACGGAGAGCGCCACGCGGGGCCGCGGGGCTCGGCTGGATGCGCCACGCGTGCGCTGCC